AGTGGTGTTCCCCCGCGTGCAGCCCCATTAGTAGGGTTCTGTCCTGCAAGGTCTGAAAGCGGAGTATTAGGTCGGTGTGTGCCGTGGTCGGCGCAGTTGCAGGCTTTGGTAGGCGGAACATGCCATCTAGTCGTACTGCTTTTGCCTGTTTAGGTGGTAGTAGGTCCGCTAGCAGGCGTCTGATAAAGTGCGGTAGGTCTGTGGGGTTTATAGAGTCCGGGATACCGCAGATCTTTACATTGTGACGTCTTCGCTGGTCTTCTAATGTATTTATTCGGTTGTTGGATGCCTGTTGCTGCTGTTTTATTTCTGTTAGTGCTTGTTCCAGGGTCTTTATCCTGGATCTCTGGGTGTTTGATGTGGTTTCCAGTTGTGTGACCCTGGTGGTGACCCCCTCTATTGCCACTTTAATGCAGGCCATGTCGGCCGCTATATTTGTTCTGAGTTCTGCCAGCATGCTTTTAAGTACAGAGGCAGTGACTGGCTCTTCTGTAGTGGTGCGCTGGGGCTTTGAGGTAAGTAGTTGGACACAAGTTGCGCCTTCCCCGGGGTCTATGGAGAAGTCATCTGAGGAATAGGAATAATCTTCCTCACCTGCCGCCATTTTGTCCCATGCGGTCTTTTGCGATCGCCGGAGAAGTTCCCCGATATCGTGGGTGTTAGGGTCCTTGTCGGCTTTTGGTTTTTTGTGTTTCCGACCCATTTTGTTTCCGGTGTCGGGTGAGGATTGAAGTGCCCGGGTAATTTCGCCTGTTAGCCCAGAAAAGCAGGTTTATGCTGTTTCTGGTACGGAGCTCCTGGGGAACGCGTCCGCTCTGCTCCTCCGCTAGCTCTGCCCCCCATGACTTTTACTTTTTAATTGCACATTCTCCTTTTAAAAGATATCCTGTTCTGACAATAACAATGTGTAATTATATATAGCTATTCTGTATTCTGTAAAAGAAACTATTAACAAAAAAATTAGAGCATTTCTATTTCTCTATTTGAGTTGCCCTTATTGAATGTCACAAAATGTATTTATGTGGGTATGCCTTCCATCCAGACCCCGTTAAGATATAAGGTATAATAAATCCCTAAAACATGTTATTCTTTGTGAACATGACTAATCACAATGGGGGTGACGGAGCATGACACTCCTGGCACCCTAACCACTTCAGCTTGCTATAGTGGATATGGTGCTGGGGTGTCCTTTAATTGGATAGGACATTCATTCAAGAACTTAATATTTTGTGTTTCTCATGCAGAATTTTTTTGGCTAATTGATCCTAGCCATTTTGAAACTGGAAAGCAGTCAATGAAAAATAATCAGAACCATGGAGATTGTTGTTAGCAGAAAAGACAATATAACTGCAGAGAAGCAAGCTTTATTACATTTTGCTGAGCTTGCTAGCACTCGCCATTGTAGGTGATCAAGTGATCACCTGTTTGTTACTCCCTACGCACTGACCTCACCAAGCCGATTCCTCTCATTACTCTTCCCAGTCTTTTTAACTCTTCATTCAGGGTGCGAGTGTATATTTTTCTTTTCCTCTTACCGTTGTTGATTCCATCTCTGTTTAAAATTCACCCAGAAATCTAAATATTAACAATACTGGACAGAGATGGGGCCACTAGTAATATATGGTACACATACTGGGGATGCTCCTAGCAAGAAAGTTTATTTTAAGATCTCTATGGAGTCGTCTACAAAACTCCTGCTTGTATGTCTGTCTTCTATCATATCGTGGAAGGAAAACAGGTCCACTGAGAATATATATCACGGCAGATTCCTGGGGCCTGACTGTGTAGATTAAAACTGTCTTCTAGTAAACTAAAAGAAGCTCATCTTCTAGCCAGATTACGGCACACAGAATTGATTAACTTTTAGATTTTCTAAGACTTATACCTTCTCAACCCTTTTTCGGTTGAAGTTAGACCCAATGATTCTGAAACGTTACATTAATCATAATAATTCCATACAAAGACACAAAACATCTATGTCAAGAACCACTGTTTAAAACAGTTTGGCAGTTTGTAAGTAAGGCAAGGTTTAATAGTACTAAATATTAATGTATCAGTCGTTGAACTTGCTGTGCTAAGGATTTCTGCATACAGTAACCAGATCATGAGTTTCCTTAAGGACACTTATGGAAAATGTGCATGTAAACGATATATGCAACCCTGAATTATGTATTTTTTATAGGCATTATTTCCCAGGATTCGAAAGGAACATTGTACTCACTACAAGACCTTCATCTAATTGCAGCTGTTATAGTGCCTACAGTTGTTCCCTCCTTATCCTAGCCTCCAGATTGTTATATTTTAATAACTGAAAGGCTTGGAAGTGTGACTTCAAGCCAGACCTCCAAGCCCTGTGGATATGAGAGTCTAGACTGTTGCTTCCCAGCTCTTATAGCCAATCATGAAGTCATGTGAAATTTCAGTTTCAGGAAGCACAGAATGCCGAATAGTCTCAGCCAATCAGTGTCTCCCCATTCACAAAACTGATTTGAAAAAAAGTACATTTCTTTTCCAGACAGTTTTGTGGGAATCCCTGATTGGCTTTGGGCATCAGCTGACCCCTCTCAGGTATTCGGCGACCGCCCTGCTCGACGGCAGTTGAGATCAGCGCCGGAGGCTCACTTTGAGGTAAGTGTGCGCCCAAGTGCCTTCTGGCACCATAACCACTTAATTGACATGTTTTTAACTTTACCGTGAAAATATTAGTCATTTTGTCTTTCTGTCAGCTATCACCACTATAATCTCTATCCTTTGCACCTGCCAGTCAGCTTAGAGAGAGCACAGAGAGTGGAAGAGAAACAGAAACAAACAATGCAATACGCCAGGACTGAGCTGGATTGATAAATCTTTATTGTGCATTTAATAGAAAATGGAATACATAAAAAGTTAACACAAGTTATAGGTCATTTTTAATGTTTTTTGTATGGTGTAATTTCCAGAGAAGTTACAGGCTCTTATTTTATTGAAATGGAACTCCGTGAAGCTACCTTTACTCTCTCTTCTGGGTATTTTATTGGTTGTAAAACTGGTCACAAAGATTTAAAATCAGAGTGAAATGTTTTATTCAGCCAGTATTATCATTATGTTATTATTATGACTTTCTCTCAACCAGGATTGGTGGAGTGTAAAATTGAGACAGAAGCGGCAGGAAGGATATGTCACAGTAGAATTTTTAATGTGAATGAACGAGTCAAATCAGAAAAAAAACACTTTCCAAAACTTCAATGTCCACATTAAATTCTAGAAGATTTTAAATGTAAGCTCGCTCATCAACATGAAGGCGAACCTCTTAGCTGCGTCAGATTAATGCCGGGGCTATTGAAGATGAAACTCATAGCAATACTCCCAATCTGATTTGAGCCCTGATCAACAACTGAGTGGCTTGATTGAGCCTTATGCCTACTGCATGTACAGGTAGGAGTGGCCTTTATCTTCTCTAAGCTACCTGCAAACATACCTTCTGTGCTTCATTACCCATAGGATGGACTGCCAGTTCCCAATGGACCTCGATCCCTTTTATCCTTTGCTTTTCGTTATTAGATCCCTGTGGTTTAGCCTGGTTAGGAAGGTGGGTTTTATATGCTTGGAATTTCCATAAATTTATGCTTTGAAGTCTCTGAATGGGCATGGCAATAGTTTTATATATAGCTGCAAACAGGGCCGCCATCAGAAATTTTGGGGCCCATGACAAAGCACAAGGTCTGGGCTCCCCCCCACTCCCTCCCTCCCGAGACCGCCCACGCCCTACCTAGTCCGCTCACAATGATGCAGGACTGAATGTGGTGTGTATAGTGGAAGTGAATTAGAATGTGTGTAATGGATGTAGTGTTTGTGTGTATTAGATACTGTTTGTGCAGTGAATGCAGTGTGTGCTTGTGTAGCGGATGCAGTGTGTATAGTGAACGCAGAGTGTATTTGAGTAGTGGATGTAGTGTGTGTACAGTGATGTAGTGTGTGTACAGTGATGTAGTGTGTGTTTGTGTAGTGAATGTAGTGTTTGTATGTACTAGATGAAATGTGTTTAGTGGATGCAGTGTCTGTAGTGTGTGTATTAGACGCAGTGTCTGTGTATAGTGAATGCAGAGTGTTTCAATTTGTGGTGGATGTAGTGTGTGTACTGTGAATACAGGATGTTTGTGTAGTGGATGCTGTGTGTACAGTTAATGCAGAGTGTATGTTAGTGTAGTGAATGCAGAGTTTGTGTCAGTATAGTGAATCCAGAGTGTGTGCATAGTTTAGTGAATGCAGAGTGTGTGTTAGTGTGTAATGAATGCAGAGTGTGTGTTAGTGTGTAGTGAATGCAGAGTGTGTCAGTGTAATGAATGTAGTGTATGTGTTATTGTAGTGAATGCAGAGTGTGTGTAAATTTGTAGTGAATGCAGAGTGTGTGTTAATGTGTAGTGAATGCAGTGAGTGTGTTAGTGTGTAGCGGATGCAGAGTGTGTGTTGGTGTAGTGAATGCAGTGTTAATGTGTAGTGAATGCAGAGTGTGTGTTAGTGTGTAGCGGATGCAGAGTGTGTGTTAGTGTAGCGGATGCAGAGTGTGTGTTGTATTAGTGTATGCAGAGTGTGTGTTGTGTTAGTGTATGCAGTGTGTGTTGTGTTAGTGTATGCAGTGTGTGTGTGTGTTGTGTTAGTGTGTGTAGTGTGTGTTGTGTTAGTGTATGCAGTGTGTGTTGTGTTAGTGTGTGTAGTGTGTGTTGTGTTAGTGTATGCAGTGTGTGTGTTGTGTTAGTGTGTGTAGTGTGTGTTGTGTTAGTGTATGCAGTGTGTGTTAGTGTATGCAGTGTGTGTGTGTGTGTGTGTGTGTGTTAGTGTATGCAGTGTGTGTGTTGTGTAAATGTGTGATCTGGGGGGGAGAGGGGGAAGGGGCATTTTAACATTCATTTTTTATTAATTTAATTAAATGTTTCTCCCCCCTCCCTGCATACCTGTGTCCAGGGAGGGGGGAAATTCCATCCCTGGTGGTCCGGTGGGGGGCCCCCCGGCTCCCTGTTACCGCAGAGGGGGCCCAGGCAGCACACAGCTTCTCCTCCTCTCCTCTCTCTTCTTTCTTCTAATAACTCTCGCGAGACCCAGTTACCATGGCAACACTCCGCGGGTCTCGCGAGAGTTATTAGAACAGAGAAGAGAGAGGAGAGGAGGAGAAGCTGTGTGCTGCCTGGGCTCCCTCTGCGGTAACAGGGAGCCGGGGGCCCGCGGCTGTACACATAGAGAGCGATATTCGCTATCTATGTGTGCAGAAAGGGAAAGTGGGGCCCAGGACTGCCAGAGCAGTCCGGGCCCCCCAGGGCCGCCAGGCCCGTGACAACAGTCACGGTTGTCACCCCCTGATGGCGGCTCTGGCTGCAAAGTCCAGTTGCAGATAGGACACAGTGCCTCAAGAAGAATGGCATATTGAGGCCCTTTCCTAGAACCCATAGGCCATAGGCTTATCCAAAACCTATCTTAATAAGGACCACTGCCAATACCCCCCTTTGTCCTCCACTTGTGTTATTCTGCAGGATGCTGAAGTTGGGAGGTGTGTGGCCAACTTCAGAGGCAAAGGTAAGGGGGAGACTGAAAGAAGAAAGGGAAAGGAAGTATTGAAAAGGGGGACTTTCGGCATTAAGAAATTTATGAAATGGGGAATTTGGGCATTAAGAAGAGTATGGGAAGGGGGATATGGGCAGTGTGTGAAGTATCGGAAGGAGGGATAGGAGCAGAATAACACAAGTGGGGAAGAAGGGGGGTATGGGAAGTGGCATCTCCCAAGATAGGTTATAGATCTGTCTTTGGTTAAGGCATTTAAGGGTAAATAAGTGTGTAGGGGTTCATAAAAATACCCTTTTCTGTCTTATTTGAGATTTTACCTTATAGCTGAAAGCAGTAAGGTGAATTGTTAGCTGGATGATGAACGCTGTACCCATTGCTACTGCCCAGAAGTAGTGGGCATTTTAAGTGCAGGGCTAAATTTTGCATGTGTGTATCTGATATAATGAGTACTTGATGAAGAGCAGACATGATAGAGTAACAATATCTTGAAACCAGTAACAAACATAAGCATTTCTGACGTAAAAATTATGAGATTGTTGGTGATGTAAGTGTCAAACGAGAGTGATAAATGTTGCATATGACATAGGTGTCCTAGTACACTACAGAATTAAGGTGAGACAGTGGGAGAGGACCCACAAATAAGGACTGTCCCACCTAATTTGTGACAGTTGGGAGGCCTGCAAATGGTTGGTGAGCCTTGCTGCATATGTATGTGGCAACGTGGATAATTAACAGGTGATATCTATAATGAACTGTTGTTTTAACTACTGATTCTGGATCCAAAATTCAAACCAGCTGAGCCAAGTGTTGGTTTAGTGAGTTCCCCTAACCTGTCTTGCTGTGCAATTCTGTATGTCACATTCAACAATAACACACAATAACATAATGAATTCTCACCAAGCTTCTATTCCTGTTGAGGATTTAGTTTTTTTAATAATTGGTTGGGCTTTTTTATGAAAATTGTTTGAGTTAACTTTAAATGAGCTTGGATAATTGCAAAGTAATTGTAAGCTGGCTGATTTCTTCAGCAATAAAAAAAAATAGAGTCTGACTGTCGTGTAACAATAGAAAGTAAGAACAATTAAGCATTTGTTTATTGTGGGGGGAAAAGCAATCAATTCAGGCAATTTCATTTTCAGTGAAGCTGATTTTGTCTGTGTGTTCAGAAAAAGCATTGACTGATGGAGAATAGATTTCAGAGATCTTTGTAACATTTTTTTTTGGTATTTTTGTCTATACTTAAAAAATTCATACTGCCATCTGCCTGGTGGTCTGATAAATAAGGGGCAAAAACCTGTACAATGTAGGACCCAGTCTAAAGGTTCTTGTTACTGTAGGCATGTGATGATTGAGCTAGGAGAGCCATGGACAACCCTTGGCAGACATTGGCATGGTTTAAGTAAATGGAATAATGTGGCTATTCTGGCATTACGTCATCTCCAAATGACCATAAAAAGGTCATTAAATTTCCAATCATATCTTCATAGAACTTAGAACTGGAAACCTATGCTTGAATCCACGACTGACCACCTTACCAGAAAGTGTCCTTGGTCTATACTTCTAATGATATACATCCGCTTACCCCAAATCATCTTAGTTTGTAGGCTTACTACTAGTATCCCATCTCTGTAATTGTAAAATGCTGTGGAATGTGTTGGTATTGTTATTGTTGTAATATGTTCTGAAATGCATCATCTATATATTTCATAACAGGATACATCATTTCAAAGGGACATGTAGCCTATATTCAGTAGGAAAAAACACCTGTCTGAATACAAGGATAATTAAGGAACATCTGAGGGTTATTAAGAATATTTCTGAAGTATTGGCTGGAGAAGACCTAACACTACAGCCACTTGAAGGTAAACAATCTCCCTTTTCACTAAGAAACTTCCAGGAAGTACTGCAGGTTTGAAGACACAAACAAGGTAATGCCCTAGACACCGGAATTTGTCCGGTCCTTCCAATGCAGGACAAACATTTCAAATGTAGACAGCAAATATGTATTTTGCCCCCCCCCCCCGTCTTTGTTCAAGCCATGCCCTATACAGCAAGATATATTTTCATCTGTTATCTCTTTATTTGTTCTTGTGTAGAAGCTTTAGACCTCACCAACTCTCGGGCAAACAACCTCCATTTTCACTAGGCAACTTTTCCAGAAGGTTCTGAAGTATTGACTGCACAGGACTCACACTGTTGTTGTTATTATTGGCATTCATATAATGCCAGCTTATTCAACAGCGCTTTACAATATTATAAAGGGGTAAATTTAACAATCATTGGGACAACTGCAAAATGTTACAGGAACAGTAGGTTGATGAGAACCCTGCTCAAACGAGGTTTGTGAAATAAAAGTTACTCTGGTAGGCCATAAGCTATTCTGAAGAGATGGGTTTTGAGGGACTTCTTAAGTGATTGACGACTAAGGGAGAGTCTTATGGGAGTAGACTGGCTGTTCCAAAGGAGTGAAGCCAACCGTGAGGAGTCCTGCAAGTGCAAGTTCTTGGTAAGGGTATGAGCAGCGAACAGGAGGAGGGCACCGGCATAGCAGAGTATAAAGAGAAAACAAATGGGGACCAAAAACAGTGCCTTGGGGAACTCCAATGGAGACAGGATGAGGGGAGGAGGTGTTATTAGAAGCTCCACTAGAGGCTGTCTTAACACTGCCATGTATTCAGCCTCTTTAAGGGAACAGGGACACTGCACATAAACCACTTCAGTGGGATGACGTGGTCTGGGTGCTTTTAAAAGGTTTTTCCAAGCACCGTGGATGATTTTAAGTCGTCATGGTGGCTGGGATCTGTGTGTGCAGCATTTTACTGTAAAACACTGCACATTCCTAGTTTAACCCCTTTGCTGCCTGAGGTATAATTCCACCTCTGACAGCATATCGGGGCATCATCATCCAGCCTGGAACAAGAGGTCTGACCTGGGTAATGTCAGTTCTGTGAAATTTTGATGTAGTGACACTCATTCATTGGCTGAGAACGATCAGCTGACACTTTCAGTCAATGAGCGAGCAGCATTCTCAACGTGGTGTAAACCTTGATACTTTGGAGCCCTGTGCCCGGCAGTACCAAGACCATTGTAAAAAGATTTGCCACGTTACTACAAAATGGCACCAAGTTGCTCCTACCATCATAACCACTACAGTGGGCAGTGGTGGCTGTGACAAACTCCCCTCTCCAAGTGAGTTTGCCACGAGCTCCTGGAGGAGCCTGCTTGTCAAGCCTCCTGCCCACAGACTATGGGCCCTGCAGAGAAACCTGTAAAAGATTACCAAACTTGACCGACTATTAGCACTGACTTCCCTGGAACTGTTTTGGGCATGGGGCCATGCTTGCGGTCGGTCAAAACTATGGACTTCCATGAAATTCCTGAACCCCTGAACCAATCTGGGTAATTTTTTGGGATATGTTGTTCACCCAGATCAGGGCTATTACGGGATGTGACTATGGGGTTTTGTGTGTTTTTAAGGTACTTTAGATAATTAGGTTAGATTAGTACAGTTCCTGATTCAGTTATCTCTCAAGCACTTCTGTCTCTTATTGTAGGGAGCTACTATATAGTGATACCAGGGATTGCTATACTCATTATTGATTGGATAATCACCCTTGGATAATCACTAGCTCTTGTAAGAGCTATTCCTGCTTAACTCTCTGGAGGAAGAGAGGTTCATCCACTGGAACCCTGGAGCCTTGTCGTAGGTCCAGGGTGGGTAGGAGACGGCGAGACCCCAACCAAGCTGTGGCGTTTTTGTGGTCTGCAGTGCTCGGATTCCTTGGTGAGCACTAGGAGCATCCGTCGGCGGAGGTACCCAACCGGGGTACAGGAAGCTCCGTTACAGTGGCTATAATGATTGGAACCCTTTGTTATTGAACCATTTTCTTCTTATTTTTCAATTTACATTTTTCTTTTTCACATAGTTTGGCAAATGTTACATAATGGATGTCATGCATGATCTTGCTTTGCAATCCAGATTAACCTGCTGGAGACAATCTGGTGTCGGGGATGTATCAGCAGATTTCTAGTGGGAACAAGTGATTTGTAAAACTGTACTAAACCATTTGACATCTGATTGCGCCAGATCACCCTGGCACCATAACCACTACAGTCGGTCATAGCAGCTATGCTGCTTGAAGTTTTCCTTTTAAGATCTGGATAACTGTCTTGTGACTTTACAGAATTCAGGTACCAGCAGTCAATGTTTTTAAAATTGTAGGACTGTGTCAAATGATGTACGTTTTGGGGTTTTACATGACAAATATACCATACTAATGTTTATATATTTTTTCCCTCTTGATAAAATACCATTTTTATTTCTACAGTTATTAATTTTTAATTATTGAATTATGTATTGGTTGCCCAGTTCAATGCAGTTATTCAGAGTAAAATTCTGTACCTTCCTACTAGCTTCAATACAACTATCAGTCGGGGTTATTCAGTAAATATTAAGCTTATTTTAAATAACAAAAATACATTTTTGTTCCTCATTTAGCCCAAGTTTGCAAATTTCTTTGGCGATGCATCACAAATTACTGTTTAGTTAATTTGCCCCTTTAGTTACCATCTTTAGTCTAAAGAATGAAGCAACAGTTATAACTCCAAGAAAAACATAAATTATTAAGATTATTGTCAG